GCTTGAAACGAGGAAGGCCAGTGGGGTCTAAAGATAAGAATCCTCGAAATAAAAGAGAAATTCAAGATTCGAATTTGAAAAAGAATCAAGATGATGGAAAAATTTCGGAACGAAATGAAAATATTGAAATCTCCATCAATTATGTAAATAATGGGAAACTTTGGAAGCGTGATGGGATCATTGATGATGCGTTCGCATACATGGTATCACAAGAAATTGACAAAGAAGTTGAGGATCCTGAACCAAAATCTATGATTGAATGTCAGAAAAGACATGATTGGGACAAGTGGAAAGGGGCTATTCAAGCCGAGTTAAATTCGCTTGATAAACGAAAGGTGTTTGGACCTATTACCATTACACCTAAAGACATAAAACCTATTGGGTACAGATGGATTTTTGTCAGAAAAAGAAATGAGAAAAATGAGATCACAAGATATAAAGCTCGCCTTGTAGCACATGGATTTTCCCAGAGGCCTGGGATCGATTATGATGAAACATATTCCCCTGTTATGGATGCGATTACTTTTAGATACTTGATTAGTTTGGCCATCCATGAAAATATTGAGATGCGTCTTATGGATGTTGTGACTGCTTACTTATATGGATCACTAGACGCTGACATTTATATGAAAATTCCAGAAGGAATTAGAATGCCCGAAACACTAAAGTCCAAACCTAAAGAGTTATGTGCGATAAAACTGCAAAAATCATTGTATGGCTTGAAACAATCCGGGCGTATGTGGTACAATTGTTTGAGTGAACAACTGCTTAAACGGGGATACATAAATAATCAAATATGCCCGTGTGTTTTTATAAAAAGATCACAAGATTGAGTTGTGATAATTGCTGTCTATGTCGATGATCTTAATATTATTGGGACTACAAATGCAATTCAAGAAGCAGTCACTTTACTAAAAGGCGAATTTGAAATGAAAGATCTCGGACAGACCAAATATTGTCTCGGCTTGCAAATAGAACGGGTCCAAAATGGGATATTTGTCCATCAATCTAATTACACTAAAAGAATACTGAAACGATTCAATATGGACAAAGCAAATCCACTTAGTACTCCAATGGTCAATCGAACATTAGATGTCGAAAAGGATCCATTTTGATCTTGTGAAGAAGATGAAAAAATACTTGGTCCTGAAATACCATATATGAGTGCAATAGGAGCGCTTATGTATCTTGCTAATTGTACCAGACCAGATATATCTTTCGCTACCAATTTATTAGCGAGATATAACTCGGCACCTACGAGGAGACATTGGAATGGAATTAAGCATATATTCCGTTATCTCCAAGGGACAATCGATTTGGGACTGTTTTATTCTAACAATAGAAAACATGAAATAATTGGTTTTGTAGATGCAGGATATCTCTCAGATCCCCATAAAACAAGATCTCAAATTGGATACGTTTTTACGATTGGCGGAACTGCATTCTCTTGGCGCTCTCAGAAACAAACGTTAGTTGCGACGTCTTCAAACCATGCTGAGATCATTGCACTTCATGAAGCAAGTAGGGAAAGTATCTGGCTTAGAAACATGACTCAACATATTCAACAAGCCAGTGGACTATCGAACAATAATGACCCGACGGTGATATACGAAGACAATGCAGTATGTGTCGCTCAAACAAAAGAAGGATACATTAAGTGTGACAGAACTAAACATATCCCGCCAAAGTTCTTCTCATATGCGCAAGAGCTCGAAAGAAACAAACAAATCAAAGTTCAATACATTCGATCAAGCGATAATGCAGCAGATTTGTTTACAAAGGCGCTTCCGACGACAATGTTTCGAAAGCATGTACACAATATTGGAATGAGACATCTTCGGAATTTGCACGGATAATAATTCGAGGGGGAGTATGTGCGGCTGTACTCTTTTTTCCTTATCTCGGTTTTTTTCCCACAGGGTTTTTCCAGATAAGGTTTTTAACGAGGCACCATAAACGCACATTTAATAGTGGTAATTCCAAGGGGGAGTGTTATAACAAGTGGAATTTTACCACTAGTAAATGTATTACCTTATCTTATCATTATGCATAGAAGTGTGTGCATCTAATTAATAATGATGAAGTTTTGCCTATAAAAGGCAAGAGAAGGGTTCATTTATCTGTACAAAAAGAAAGTGACGTACGAAAAGAGTAGAAGAAAGAAAGAACAGTTTGAGTTATATCCAGTTTTTATACATTGTGTTCTTTATATTCCTCGCATTTTATAACAAGATAACTATTGTTTCATCGTTTTATTAATAAAGTTGGTAAAATATTTTCCTATATTTTGTCTTAACGTTCTAAATTAAACAGACAAATAAATTTTATATAAGAATTTATTTAATTCATAAACAAAAAAAAAAATCCAATATAATAATTTTTAGATTTCATATATTGAATTAAACAACTTAATAAAATCCATATAAAAATTTATTTATTTATCTATATACAGAACCACATGCACTGACAACGGGAAGCACTGAAGCTAAAGCCTTTAAAAAATGTAGTGCACAAGATGATGTAACGCCTACACTGAACGGAACTAAGCACTACACACAAGACGATGTAACGCCTAGAACGGATAAACTTCCATATCATTAGTTTAATGAACTTTAGGGCCTCACTTAACATTAATACACCATTATTGCTAAAGAGTTTGCTCAATTAATAAGATTACACAATTATTAATAATCAAACTCACTAAATATATTAATTGATTTTATTTTTTTTCAGATGTTAACTTGAATAATATATATGTTTCATCTTCATTTATTTATAGTAGAACCAAGATATGTCAGGTTTGGATGAAATAATATAGATAAAATAATAAAGTCATGTTTACGACATGGATTAGATACAGAGAATTCACTCAATTTTGGTTAATGTTTTAGAAAATACTTCATTGATCTTCTAATAATAATATAATTTTGATACTTATTATTGTATTTAATTATATATTTCTCAATCATCTATTGGCAATTGAAATAAGTATGTACGACAATATATATAATTAGTTTTTTTTTT